TACAAATAATTTTCAAAGGTAAAGCCCACATACCTTTCAAATTAGTCGTCGCGTATCAAAATTAATAGTAAAAATACAAATCAAACAAAAACTATATTCATAAAAAAAACTTTTTTTTGACAAAAAATAAATCAGACATGGTTCCAACTCATCAAATATAAAATAAACAACTAACTTTCATTAATGAATGGTACATTTACCAAATTACTAAAACAAGCATTTGTGTGTTTGTACATGTGTGATGTTTGGCAGAGCTAAAATCACTAAGGATGTTGAAATCAATCTTTTTCCCTATAATATGTTAAACATCAGGAAGGAATTGCTTGCTAATGTGAAAAAAAGTGTGTATCACATTTTTGGTACTTGATTATTGACGTACCTGGGAATCATCATCTGTTTATATGATTATCTATGGGTTGTAGCAACCAGATTCACATCAGTGACTATAGTTAGGGCTGCAGGTTCTTTTTTTAAGAGTTTGTAGTTCTGATATTTTTGGTAGAATTTGAGCCAAGCAAAGGATAACATTTCCACCAGCTCCCATATCTGGTAGATTTGGTGGTTGCACGGCTCGCCCTGTGTAGATTTTCAAGTTGTAAGGAACACCATCTGCACCAGCCATATGAAGTACCCTGCAGACCCGTATATTTGGGTTTAGCAGGTATTGCTTCAGTCTTTACCTGCCTTGGAATGGGGCCATTTGTTCATTGATGACCAGCTCTTCACCCTTTGGGACTGAAGTCAGTTTTGAGGATAAACAAACAATGAAATAATGGTTGTACAGTGGATCCTCATGTTTTCATCTGGAATGACCCCAACTTATGAACCTTTTGTCCATGAAATGATCTTGCATCCATCTCCTGTTGCTGTTAGTCAATAATAAAGTAAAAAAATTGGCTTTGATAATTATTTTGTGATCAATTGCATATCATCGCTTTAGAATTATATTGTCTGAGCAAAGGGGCCCTAACTGCACAATATTGCCCTGAGGCAACAAACAAAAAAACACAGTTTTAGCATATAAATTATTTTAAAAATTGTCTTGAAATGATCTATATTGCTTCTTTACATACTCACAGATATTAAAATATTTTTAGTTGGAGTGACCCAAATTTAAACATGAAGAAAATTGATGTATAACTTACAAGTAGGAGGCAAGGTGTAGCATGCACCTCTGCTTCATAAAAAAGGACTGCTCCTCTTCTAAGTAAAAGGTCACATGAACCTCAATACCTCTTTTATTTTATTTGGACAAAAATATGTCTAGAGGTATTTTAAATCATTCCCCCCCCCAAAATAAAATAAAGGAGCAACGTGAGGTACAGAAATGTGGTTTGTTGCCCGAGGGCAACGCCATGCCATAGAGGGTTAAAATGTATTTATATGACCAAATACATGGTTTCCTATTTCAGTCATACCAAGGATATTACGGAAAGAGATTTTCTTTTTGAACGGTTTCCTATTTTCTTCTGCTTCATTATTTATTAATTTATTTGACTTTGTTCGCCGCCAGAGAACCTCAGCAAGGGCCCGACTCTTCCAAATATTGTTTTATGAAACAGCTGAAGTGTGAAG